CATAAAAAAAAAAAAAAAAATTTACCAAACGCTCTAACACAATCCACTAATGTAATTCGCTGGTCAAAACAATTGATATTATCCGCTAACAGCTAACTGCTGCTTGCCAAACAAGGTTAAAGTATTTTCTTATTGGTGTAGACATTATTGCTTTCTCATTAATTTCTTTTTACCACCTGCATTAAACATTTCACCAAATTCATGATGTTTTCCCGTTAGGGCATTCCAATGGTAATAGTTATTACTAGCTATATGGTCAGCTGACGTGGATGTGAGAGATAAGAAAAATACTTATTTTACACTATTGGACCCACGTACTCCTCTAACTGATCTTGGGCTACGTAAAATAGATAAGCTATTTGTTAGTAGCTAGTGACTACTATCTCTCTTACTTTTCCCTTGTCCACGTGATAATAGTTAGCCAAATAGCTAACCCATTGGAGACGCCCTCAATTAGATTTGGAAGCACTAAAAACAATGCAGCCAACTGCCTATTTTAGAGGATGTAATATATGTGGCATTAAAGATAATAATTGATCAAATGTTGGAATTTCAAACTTCCATCATCTCGTATGAAAACTAGAGCCCAATTTCATTTCATCTCATATGAAAGTTAAAGCCCATTTACGTTTTGAGTGAATGTAGCCCAAGTTAGAACTTCAATTTTCGTTTACCGAACATTTTCCCTCCCGGAACAGGACAAAAAACACGATCTGTGCGTGAGTTTCTCTCAAAGAACTTTCAGCTGAAAGAAAGAAATCATATCATCCAACTCAGAAATTCAGCTATCGACTATCAGACCAAATTCAGCTGAAAGAAATCATACCATTCAGATAAATCCTCCAAATTTTCCACCCCTTCCCGCGGATTCTTCTCCGGCTGACCCAGCGCGCCTGCCGGCGGTCATCTCCGCCGTCCGTCGCCTCCTGGTCGGACTGATTCCGTGTGCCAGTTTGCTGTTCTTCATCCTGACCCGGAAACATGATTTGGTGGTGGTGAGGTACCGGAGATTCCTTGCTACAGAGAGGGCAATTATTTTCCTACGCTGCTGTCAACGGAGGATCCACATGGATGCACTCACTACACCCAGCTGCACTTGTCGAAGTTCGAGCCTTTTGGTGAGAGTTCCTTTCGTGTTTCAGCCAGGTCCTTTTGCGAGAGGAATTTTGGGGGGTTTTTGTGTGCGGGCTGCTTCTCGGGCTGAGCTTGCCGCGACCGAAGAGTGGTGTTACCCTGGGTTTACAGTGCCGGAGTCATTAAGGTCGAGGCTCCAATTGATCGGTTCATGTGTCGGCTCTTCGGTGACTCATTTTGAAGGGTTTGACATAAAGGGGACTGGGCCTGCTCCATTTCAACCCATCATCTTGACATCTTCGTACCATTCGAGCTCCCGTACAAGAACTTGAAAAGGGTTTATTCATTCCTATTTTATGCTTTGTTTATGTTCAGCCGTTCAATTAATTTAAGTTATTTAATTGCTGAAATTCGGTCGTTTATTGTGAATTTCTAATTTCAACTTGAAGCGAACAAACCGAAACTTGTTCGGGCTCGAAAGGTTGCTGTCCGGGCTCTACAGGGACTGTCCGGGACCTATTGGTTGCTGTCGGGGCCTACCGGGTGCTGCCGGGACGAACCAGAGGCTGTTCGGGGCCAGCCTGGGCCCGGCGAGTCGAGCCAGACGACCACCCAACAGAGCCATTCATTTATGTTTGCAAGGGAGTTCTCGCCTGGTTGCTTGCTGGATGACATTTGCCAGGATGGTAAGAATTACTTGGTTTAAATTCTGATTGTTTTGGCCATATTAATAGGTTAACTTCAAATAGCCATAATGGATTTTTTAGTGTTGATGAATTTTATGCTAGGATGACTATGGTGCTAACACTATTTAGCATACTAGGATCGTTTGTCTCAGTTTTGTATCTGAGGTTTTTTGATAATGGATGGGTTTGGTTCAGTCGAACTGGTCAATGGTTATTTTGATTGAGAAAATCGGAGCACCCTACTTAAATCTAAGTAGGAGCACAAAAAAAAAAAAAAGAAAAAAAAGAAGTAGGAGCACATAGAGAAATCAAACCTCTAAAGAAAGAGTCACTTTCAAATGTTTGAATAAACTCTAATTGTTCGCCACGAAAGGAAAAAAGTCTTACGAAATAAAGAAGAATCCGAACGAACTCCATTATTCAGTTGAAACATGATTGATTGAGAAAAATAGTCTTATTAAACCTTTAGGAACGATCTTATCGTCCAACTCGAACGCCCAAAAGTCCCATTCGAAGAGATGGCGTTGAGCCTGATCTTTCTTCTCTGTTGCCAGAGTAAGCCTTGACTTTTGTCGGGGACTTTGTTGCTGGGTCTCCTCCCCTACTTCTCTTTTTCCAACAGCCCCTTTTCCTCTCTCTCTTCACTCGAGTGTATTTCTTTTCCGACGCTTTGTGTATTGCTAGGGGATTAATCTCTAGACCAAAGACTCATTTATGTTTTCCCTTGCACTGGAACTATTTATTAGCATTCCTCCAAAGTTCTCTATTTTCATCTGAAGGTCCAGAAAGGCTCCATCATTGTATATGGGAAAAAGCATATTATTTACTACTTAGGAGAGCAAAGCCTAGAGGTCAAGGGAGAGTAGAGCACTCACTCTCTCACTGAAACCACCTATTTTATGCAATTGAATTAGATGGGCATACAATATGAAATGGCTCTTAGGAGCTTAACAGCTTAAAAAGAGACTAGGGCTCCTAGGGAAGGGGAACTAGATGTTCTTAGGACTACAAGTGTAAGGCAAAGATGACAATTGTAGAAACATAGACGTAAAAACGAAGAACTATTGAATTATCAAGAAAATAGCAGTATAAAAATATTTGAGAACTGTTTAAACTGGAAAAACAAACAAAATAATTCTGAAAACTGAAACTCGATGATGAACTAGACGAAGCTAATCACATAGACGCAGCCGGGTAATGAACTAGGCGGCCGGGAGGGCAAGCGAGTGCATCGTTGGCCCGTGTCGGGCAATCGATCATATGCTCCCCGTCCGAGGTGAAGCAAGTCCCAATCTGGTAGAGTTCGGTCCTTGAGGGCCCTTTCGCAACGCGCCACGTGGCTGTGGCTTGTTGAGCAACTCGAGTGGCCGTAGCCACCGCCGGGAGCGCCCAGGTGCTGGTGCTGGTGCTCCCCATCTTGCCGTTGCCATATATTAAGGGAGTGAAAAGTGGGAGTGGCAGCAAAGTGTTAGTCACGTCCTCAATTGTGGTTTGAGAGCCTCTTTTGAAGCGCGGGTCTCTGATGCTGCACCTTATAATCGAAATGAAACCGGTGGCAGTCCTCAATGTGGCTAGAATAATTTCTGGCATATAATCGTTGCCTGGGGTGATTTGGGCCAGTTGGAGTATAACCCTGAAGTCGTGGGCTCCATGGCGGATTTTCCCAAAGTTAAAGTACTCACCTTGGGAAAATTCAGGATACATCGTGCCATGACTTTGCCATTCGTGTTCCCACAAGGTTTGGACATTTGATGCGCTCTCTTTATGGATTTTCAAATCCGGCCACACAGTGTCAAGAAACTCAGCATCTTTTTTCTGATTTTACAAAATAATAAAAAAAATAAATAAAAAAGAAAACAAAACAAAACAAAAGAAGAAGAAGAAGATCTAACTAGAATCTTACCTCTATGTGTTGATATGCTGGACGAGTGGGGCAATCGGGAATAGCTGTCAGGTTGGACGGCCACACACCGTGGACAACAAACTTATGACCAGTTCTCGCACAAAAGTTAATCCCACAAAATGCTGGCGGCCAGGATTGAACGGCCACACACCGTGGACAACAAACTTATGACCAGTTCTCGCACAAAAGTTAATCCCACAGAATGCTGGCGGCCAGGATTGAATGAGTATGAGAAACTCATACGGAATTGCTGCATGAACAGGGAGTTGAACATACTGCAGAAACCATAGGAAAACCAAGAAAATACTCATGGAGAAAGTTGTGGTTTGTTTACCGTTGGTCATGGGCCATGGCTTTATAGATTTTCCGATGCCAACTTAACAAGAGAGAGAAGAATCTGTGTCGACGTCTTAGTTACCGTTCCAAAGATTTTCTCAGGCACTTACCATATTTTCTCATGGTCTGGTAAGATTTTCCCGGGCACTTACCATATTTTGTTCTTTTTTTTTTGTTAGTGAATAACATATATTAATGTTCTTTTTTTTTTT